CATAGATATGAAGGAGTAGCTTTATTATATTACCTAATTCTTGGTAAGAATTTACCCAATACTTGGTTTTGCACTTGGTGATTTGATTAAAAACTGAAGTTCCTATCGTTTACTTTTTGTTTATAACACTCTTTGCAGTTGGAATATTATTAATTTTTTTATCGTAGTAGTACAAAATATAGCATTGCAGAATGACAAAATCTGATCCTCAGCTTTCCTCTGCAAGTGCTAACATCATAAATTATAAGTTGGATCAATTTTAATTTTAAACCTTAATGGTATAGTTTCTAATTGGAAAGTACATATCTTTCTTCTTCTCCCTTTATGTCTTCAAAGATGCCTGATGTTTGGTAAACATCTGCGAATGGTACCCTAATCTTGTGATGGAGGTCAAGGGGCAAGTACTTGTTCTTATACACTTCTCTCAGTGTTGTCTTCTGCTTCTGTAAATTAAAGAAAAAAACAGAGCTTTTCAATACTTACTTATTTGGGTTTTAGAAAAGCCAGACTACTGTTCCCCTGCGTAGATTTCCTAGTAGTATGTTTTACCAGAGGAAACTAAATAAGCAGTTGGAATGTTATTTAATATATTATGCTACCATTTAACTAACATATTCTTTTATGATGCACACAATTAATTGAGTAACTGCAACATTAAAGATAATTACACATAAGTTAATTAAGGAATAAAAACCATCACGTATCACATAATATTAAAAAAATCAGTTAAATATAGACCCAATAATTAACAGAATCAAAACTATTGTACTTCAAGTTTGTGAAAATCATAAAAGTAAAAGGATGACAATCATTTGACAGATAATCATGAACTTCATTAATTCTTAAAAGATAGCTCTATCAGGTTATAAATATACTTTAAATAAGAGAAGGAACCAAAAAATAATTTTGTGTAAATCCTATCGTCGACCACAAAAAAATATTTATGACCTTGCAAGCACCAATTACGCTCCTCCATCTCTATTTCCATCTCAAAGGGTAAAGACAATTCTCGCTCTTCATTGTGAAGCTTACCTAGTTCTTTTATGTATAAAAGATATATGAGCTTCTATTTTCTTTGCATAAAAGAATAGACTAATGTTGGCTTCTTTCAATACTTAGCAAACTAAATTATGCCAAAATTATCATTGTTGAAAGATTTTGGTATATCAAAACACAAGTTATAAGAATTTGATATAAACGTAACAGGTATGAAATTAATCACAAGACAATTAACTATAGCTGATCCTTAAATATCTAGTGGTGATTTTTACCTATTCTCAAACTCAACCCCTTTAGCAAAAGGGTTCCCACACAATTGTTGCCAACTTTATTTGTTCCGGTATTAGCCTCTAAATATGATCATTGAAAGTGATGAAAGCCAAAATGTCAAGTTGAAAAGACCGACAACTATTCTAGATTGAGTGGCTATATAGCACAAGAAAAAGAAATTTGAGAATGAAAACAAACTCTGGAGAAAAAGTATCGATATCTGATTCTCTACTTCTTCTCGGGTGACGCTGGAAAACTCTATTTCCCGGAGGTTGAAAACTAACTGTGACTTGAATTTTACATAAAACTAACAAATGACCTCAAATTCGCAGAATATTCTATAAAAATTGATCAACAACCTATGTAAGGAGTAAAATAGAACATTCAATCAATCAATGTTCCAGATTGATTATACTCAAGGTTAACAAAATATAGACGATATATGGCAGGTTAATAACGAAAAATGTTCCTAGGATAGCTAAATGGGGACAACGGGAGAATTTGAATAATAAATTATCAGTGATAATGATGATGCTATAACTGAAGTTTTCACAAATTCATATGGAAAAAAGAAAATCAGCAAAATTGCATCTGAAGCATTAACGTTTTTTATCAATTAAGAATGAAATCTTGATTGGTGAATAACAAAGGAAATTTTAACTATTTCAATACCTGGAACTGTAGAGACTGTCTTCAAAGCCTTAGGCTTGTCTCTGACATCTTAGAACTCCAATTTCAGATAAATTTCAATTTTCAACTGAACAAAGTGAAAAAGAAAAACCCCAAAAAAATCAAATCTTCGCGGAATAGATTGTAAAAGACAGTAGAAACAAATTTATGTAGAAAGATAGTGGAGATAATGAAAACTAAAAAGTCTAATACCCAAAAAGAATCAAAAGCAACTGTTAAAGATTTTATGAAATATTACTGAAGTTGAATAACAAAAAGACAAATTCTTTAATATTAAAATTGGGAATTGGGAATACATAATAATAGAGACACCTTCATCTTATAGGTAGAGTGTAGAACAGAGAGAAAACAAAACAAAACATGATATGTTCCAAAATTATAAAGAAGAGATTTACCTTGAGAATTAAGAGAAATTACTCCTCCGTGGTAATTGGGAAAGACGAAGAATATAATACTACTATAAATGAAGAGAAAGCAAGTATGATAATTAAGAGTGAGGGACTGTTACGAAAGAATGTAAGGAGAAGCGATTGTTGGGGTTATTTACCTTGTAAATTCCATCGGTTACATCTGCAGGAGTTTTTTTTCATTAAAAAAAGGCAAAATTCTAAGAAAAGAGATAAATAAAAACCCTGAAATTTGAGAGATGTCACATTAGATTTGTATTGCCCTGCTTATATAATTATATAGATTTAAATAGTTGAGTATACGGCTATTCATGTTAATTCTTCTTTGAAATGCAAATAGTTTGGGATAGACCAAGTTACAAAATTTCGGAATGCTTTTGTCTGAAGCTTTTAGGAGTAACAATTTGTAGAGCATCCATTAGTTAAGAAAATATTATTAGGCCTATTGCGGAAAATAATTGAGTTGACGAAGAATTAAACCAAAAAGTCGCCCACCTAACCGTTTAAATTAAAAATAGTCGATAAAGGTATAATTTATATATTATATGTGTATAATAAATATAGAAATTTTTACCTCCTATAGCAAATGTTAACACCTTATTTATTTTAAATAAATACCATTTAAAAAAATTATATTCTATAGATATCTTTTAAGGTTTTTAGCAAAATATTTAATTTTGGTTAGCTCCTAACCCTAAGCCACTAAATACACTAATCAGTTACACTATTTTCTTTCTCTCTCTACTTTGATACATCTCATTCTCTTCCCACATCCCACTAAAATTTCCGATCTCCTCCTTCTTCCACCGAATTTGTGCAAAGCCCACTTCAGAGATGCTGATTTCGAATTGTTTAGTTCGTATGATACTTTTTCTGAAGTTGCTATTACTATTGAAAAAGATGTGAGCCAATGCAAGTTGTGTTTTATTCCATGACCAAGGGTTCGATTATGTTTTTCGATCCAATTAATGGTATTGTATCAAAGGAACTAAGAAATCAGAAGGAGTTTGCGTCTACTTAGTTTTCAAAAGTACAATAGTTATAGCATATTCATTAGTACCGTGGCAGTACAAGGCGAAAGGAGATCAGTCGTTATACTTGTGAAGTCATTCTTAGGATCCTTCTCCAAAAGGTTTTAGCAAAAAAGACGACATTGCTCCACTAGGGCGTGCTTCTAATAATTTAAAGGAATTTTTATTGCCAAACAACTCAGAGTGAAATTTTCACGAAGGCGGTGCATTTTCACTACCGGCTTCCGGTGAACGGCAGATTCGCCGAAAATTAGGGTTTGTTCTTGAACAAAGACGATGGATTTTGGGGTTGAGCAACTTGATTTCCTATTAATATATTTCAATATATTTTCATGTATTTTATTGTATTCATTGTCTTTTTTCCATTGTAATTCAATATATCTCGTTGTATTTTGTGTATTTCATTGTATTCACTGTCTTTTTTTTCATTGTATTTCAATGTATCCCGTTGTATTCTATGTATTTCATTGTATTCACTGTCTAGCTATATGCCATAAATGTATTCATATGTTTTTTTAATTAATATAATTTATGTATTCAGATGTATTATATAATTTCTCTGAAGATTGCTATTTTTTGGGGTATTTTTCGGTGGAGAATTTTTTTTATAACTGAAAATACAAAATTTGTGTGTTATAATTGAGTTTGTTGAGTTATATTATGAGTCTATTATGTTAATTGATTTACTTTTCGTTAACAGTGTAATCCCTTGTTTCACGCTGCGAATACAGTCGAATACAATAATCTGTCCAGCTGTAATCCCATATTTCACTCCGTGAATACAGTCGAATACAACAACTGATTAGTTGTACTTCCCTGATTCACGCATATTTTTGCTACTGTATTCATGAATACAATAGCTTAAATACATTAAATTCATCTTATAACCACAGAAAAAGTATCTATAATCCGTAATATAGCAAATGGTATCTATAAATGACTAATTACTACTAAAAGATAGTGCTTTATGAAAATTACTCTGTTTATTAAAAGAGTAAACAATGAATATGAGTGGCTATTTGCGTAAAGATCCAATTGATTAAATGACGTTTCATCCGTTCGGATTGCCCAAATTCACTCAAATGTTCAATTAGGGCTTCAAATTTGGAATTACGAATTACCATTTCCTTTACTTAGCTCCATCAACATTTCGATCAAGGCTTGAAATAGTAAGCTGTTTCCGTTTTTAGTTTCACTTGTTCAATGATTCCCCATCCCCAATCCTCTTAATGCTTTAATTATATTGGGGAAGAGCAAAATCATATCTTGGTATTGGAGTCCAAAATTGAGAAAATGTGGGCAAAAACTTCCGTTGCACCATAAAAGTTTTTGATGAATTTACGTTGTCATTTTGTTTGACTGAGAAAAAGACATTGGCAACTGAAGAAACAGAGGTAAAATAGTTTAGGTTCTTCTGAAGTGTGACATTTTCATGGCTTCTCAATTTGTTATTTTATTCACTTGAAAATGGAGACAGGTAACAACTTGTTCTGATTGAAGCAGTATAATTTCTGAAGAACGTAGAGTTAAATAGGAATCATGTGGTACATTAAAAATTTGCTTATGCCTCTGTATCCGTGATACGATCGAATTTATTTACTAATAAAATAGATTGCCTTCGGGGAGCTTCAAAGCTTGAACTTCCACTTTCGATAGTCAGAAGAAGTGCGGATGGCACCAGTCCTGATTGATTGTTTTGAAGTGAAGGGATTTTTCCTACTAACGAGTACAAATAGGCGGCCTTAGTATTAGAAAAGAATTAGTTGGGGTACGTGCGAAGTCTTCAATTATTGGCCAAGTATTACTTCACTTCCTCTTAGTTCAAGCTATTCCTTAGCTGTTATTCATCTTCCACTGCCTGAGGCCGCAACTCCCCTAGCTGCACATGGATGCATAGAGAAGGGCCTCACTTGGTTCTTTGACATCGACTCGGTTGCTAGGAAGAATGGGGGCTTAGAGACAATAGAACTAGTGTTCCTTCGTCACCCTCTAGCGTACCGAACTTGTGAAAAGCATGATTTAAGATATGCACGGACAAAAGTAGCTGCTAACTTTTGTAGTGTACATTTGGTGGTTATGACTCTGAAATATTTCATTTTGTGCTTCTATTTGGTTAGGACTTTGGAGTAATATGCTTCAGGGATCTTGGAATAAACCAATGCTCCATTCTTGTCCTTTTATGACGCTGCGAAGCTACTTTGAACTAGTCATTGAAGTGAATTAATATATGCGTTGTTGAAAAGAAATTACTAAAGGTTGCTTGTTTGAACAGCTGCTTAAAATTCCTCTTGAATTTTGTGGAAGTTTTTTCTTTTTTGGTTAACGATTGAAGTGCTGTTATGTTTTTCCTCAATCATTGATGTCCTTGGTTTCAATGTGCTTTATTATATTAGAGTATCTAATTGTTTAATGGTATTTGCTAAGTGAGGATTTAAAAGTCAATTCTGCAGATTCATTTCTCTTTTTGTTAAATGCAAATTCTTGTGATAAAATAGAGCCTCTTACCAATCCCTTCTTCCTTTGGTTAACCTAAAATGTAAATCGAACCTAGAATATTTGGTCATCAAAACCAAAATATATTCAATTATCAGGTAGCACTAGGCTCTCGACTTGGTGTTTAGTTAGGAGGAGGGTATAGGAGCGGAAAAAGCTTGCTATTTAAGTTGGGCGGAGGGTAGGGGACGGCCCCATCCTCCCCAGAATTCATAAACAGTGAGCCAACTGGAGTCGAGCCAAAAGCCCACAGTGAATTGCTCATTTTTTAGGGGAAAAAAAACAATGCTCTCGACTTCACAATAACCAAATGACCAGGCTTAGTTGTCAGTAGTCTTGAGACTCCCAATCCCTACAAATAAAAAAGTTTTGGAGTAAGAGGTGTATAAACTGATGATCACTTTTTCCTAGTTTTGATCATTCAATTACCTTATATTGAGTGGTATGTAACAACTAAAATTTGACAGTTTCAGGTTTTTGTTTGTTCTTATACACCGGTCTGAAGTATTCTGCCAATTGAAGTTTTGGTAACGCATCCATGAGTTCGCACCAGCCTAATTCAGTTGACGACATTTTCGACTCATCACTGAACTTAGAGGACACTCATTACAAGGAAGGTTATTCTGAAGGCTATTCTAGCGGCCTAGCTTCGGGTAAAGATGAAGGCCGTGAGGTGGGGCTGAAAACAGGGTTCGAAGTAGGTGAGGAGTTAGGTTTTTACAGAGGTTGCGTTGATATCTGGAATGCTGCAATTCATATACAACCAAACTGCGTCTCGTCGCGTGTGCAGAAAAGCATCAAACAGATGGATGAATTGCTTCAAAAGTATCCTGTTTCTGAACCGGAGAACGAGTCTGTCACTGATATTATGGACTCATTGAGGTTGAAATTCAGAGCTATATGTGCAACATTGAATGTTAAGTTGGAGTATAATGGGTACCCCAGAGCTTCTGATGTCAAGAATTCAGGATTCTGATTGGTTCAAATATTAAATGAAGAAAAAAACAGATCATTTTTTGTCTTTTTTCGGAATTGGTTTGATTGAAGTAGAAGGTATGTAAACATTTTATATTCATGTGCATCTAATCATTTCCTACCCCTTAAGTATCTCTGTATCTGAAATAGCAGGGCGAGAGAACGATGTCGTATCCCAAAGCACATTTCCTGTCAACTTTCCACATATTTTGGCATTATTTTAAGCAACTTTTTTTGGTCAAACAAAACAGGCAATGTTGATTTGATTCCAAAATTCACATTTTCCTCTTTGTTAATAGTGAAAGCACAGAGGAAGAAGTGACCAATCAACATAAGATTTTCATAAGAAAACTGCAAAATAAGAAGGAAAAAGAATCCTGCAAAAAGTCACAAGTCTCTTCCTATTAAAGCATTCGTTCTGTCAGCTATTCATGTATTTTGGATCATTCTAAAGGAATCCTTTTGAATAGAGAGGGTCAGGTTTTTCTAAAAGTAATGCTCTATTCAACCAAAAAAAAGGAGGGGGGGGAATGGATACTTTAATATGCTTCTTTATTGATCTTTTCTAAATTAGAAGATTTGCATTCCAAATCACCCGATAAAATTTAATTTGTAAAAAAGGAGCATTATGATAGCCCATGTCAAAATACATCTTTTTCAGCTATTCTTTGAACACTTTCAGATAAGTTCAAATTAACCAAAAAAGGCAAAACAAGGGTCATAGATAACAATTAGAAGGAGGAAAAACAATCAAAATGAACTCCACTAGTACATCCTATTTTTGAATTTTCCAAATTCCACAACTTAAAATTTGAATAGAAAGAAAATTAATACCTATTTAAACGAGCAAAAGCTTCTAAGTAAGAGAACTTGTCTATTCCATAGTTGAACCACAAATATAGACAACATTGAATATAAAAGATAAAATTTCATAGTAAAAGGGTTTGACAGAAGATGAGAGTGAGCACCAATATTATTGTTTAATAGTAATATTTATGGAACTTTTGGAAGGTGGTTGTGATGAAGAGGGTCAGGTCCTGTTGGAATTTGTCTTGCTGATTCTTCTGACACTTCATTATTAATACTCCTCTTCCCTTCTTTCTGTTAAATCCCCCAAAACAACAAAAAGACCAAGAAATTAGAGGGAAAAAACACTCAATTATCAAAAGCTCAAATCTTTTTCTGTTTTTTTTTCTAAACGAAATCCACTTTGAAGTTGATAAATACCTGAATCTTTTCATCTGGAAAACCCCCTTTTACTTCTTGACCAACTGAAAAAATAGATACATAACATTCTCATAAATAAGCATATTGTAGAGTGATAGATAGAAAGAGGGACTTTCACTCTCTGTGTCACTGTGTGTGTGTGTGTGAGAGAGAGAGAGAGAGAGTTTACATGGAGGAAAGCCAAGAACAAAGGGTGCTGAAACCGCCATGAAAATCATCAGGACATAGAACAATGACATTGTAAAAGCTCCTAAATACGCCATTTTTATCTCTGTTTTCTCACGTAGTGGCAGGCTGGTTACTCTTTCATATCTAGAGATTTTAAGTTTAAAGGGAATGAGAACAAAAAATTGTTGTTTTTGAACTATATTTGAATATTTAAATACTGGAAGTTCCCTTTGGACTGGATAATTTTGAAAACCAAAGGGGAATAAAATTTGTCGTTTCAACAGAGGCATATAATGATAGTACGATGTTTTTGTCTGTTTATACAGACGACGAGAGGGAAAACATAAAACGTCCACAATTGTTGCAACAACGTTATTCGTACAAGATGTGGAGATAAATGATTGGTTCATAAGAAATAATAGTACGGAATGTGATACTCCCAATCATTTGATGCTGAGTGACAACATTAATATTTTCTGTCCTATGAAGAAGACTGATTGCTCATTATTTCGTGTAAAAAGGTGTGATCCTTGTTTTCATCTCCTTGACAAGATATTTGGACATTTTAAAATTTATTTTAATCTTTTTCATTTGGGGTTTTTACAGAGCAAAATTTTATAATCAGTCGGGTCAAACTTATAACACCCGATAGCCCAAAATTATAATATACATTTGATAGCCCAAAAGTAATTTTAGTGGTTAGCCATCGAATTATACATCTGACCCATCATGAAAAATTGGGTGTGCAAGCCTTGTACAAAGGTTTATAAGACGGTTCCATACTTTGGAGTTCTCATGGGTTTTCTTGGCAGGGGTGCTACCCCAGTTCGCTATTTGAATCATTCCCAATTCAAGGCGATTGTGATAAGAAATATTGTTTTTTCTTATGAAAAAATAGTGCTGATTTTAGGTGATTGATGATGTGGCTCACACTTTGCGAAACACTGAACTGAATCGTTCAACTAGCAACACATTTGAATTTATGGGCTTGCAGCAACATAAGAGATCAAAAATGGGTAAATTCAGATTAGGCTTCTATAATGAAAAGGTGTGGGCTACTACAGAGGTATTTTGGACTCGGGAGTATAAACCTCTGATGCTTCGTGAATTTGATTCGGAGCAATCTGAGTCGGGAAGTGACCAGGATTGAGATCAGATTTTTATTATACAAAATAGATTGTCATTATACAAAAACAATATACTAAATAGACTGTCACTATATAAAATATACTAAATAGACTACCACTATACAATTTATATACAATAGACTATCACTATACAAAATATATACAAAATAGATAGTCACTATACAAAAAATATACTAAATAGACTGCCACTATATAAAAATATACTAAATAGACTGCCACTATATAATTTATATACAATAGACTGTCACTATACAAAATATAACAAAATAGACTTTCACTATACAAAATATATACTAAATAGACTATTACTATACAAAAAAATATATAAAGTAGACTATCACTATACAAAAATATACTAAATAGACTGTCATTATAAGATATATATACAAAATAGATTATCATTATACACAAAAAAGTAGAAAATAGATATTTTTGGCTCTTAGATGTAATATGTTTAGGTCGGAGGGCCATTTCGGGTCAATAGGGGAAAATATGAGCTATTAAAAATTTGAGGGGCTATAGAGGGTCATTTTCTCATTTTTTAGCAAAATTTACTTATACCCACTCGGGCTAAACTTATAATACCTGGTAGCTCAAAATTATAATATACATTTTATAACTCAAAAGTAATTCTAGTGGCTAACCACCGAATTATATATCTGACCCACAATATACTCGGTTATCATGAAAGATTGGGTTTGCAAGCCTTGCACAAAGGTATATAAGATGGTTCCATACTTTGTATTTTTCATTGGTTTTCTTGTCAGGGCTGCTACCCCAGTTCATTATTTGAATCCTCCCCTATTTAAGGCGACCGTGGTAAGAAATATTGGTTTTTCATATGAAAAAAAATAGTAATGAATTCAACGCAGTTAATTAATCTAGAGTGTTATTAATAAAGAAAAAACTATTTCTACTCATTTTAGGTGGTTGATGATGTGGCTCACACTTTGCGAAACATTAGGCCGATCGTTCAATAGCATTACATTTGAATTTAAGGGCTTGGAGCAAACATAAGAGACCAAAAATGGGTCAATTCAGATTAGGCTTCTATAATGAAAAAGTCTGGGATCAGGAGCAGTATTTTGGACTCGGGGTATAAACCTCTGATGGTTCATGAACTAATTCGGAGCAATCTGAGTTAGGAAGTGACCAAAATTGAAATCTGATTGTCATTATACGAAATAAAATGTCAATGTGCAAAACAAATATACTAAATAAACTGTCACTATACAAAATAGACTGTCAATATACAAAAATATACTGAATAGACTACCACTATACAATTTATATACAATAGATTATCACTATACAAAATGTATATAAAAAATAATCTGTCAATATACAAAATATATACCAAATAGACTGTCACAATACAAAAATATACAAAATAGACTATCACTATACAAAAAATATACTAAATAGACTGTCATTATACAAAATATATATTAAATAGTCTATCACTATAAAAAAAATACAAAATAGGTATTTCGGGTTATTAGATATAATATGTTTGGGTGGAGGGCCATTTCGGGTCAATAAGGGAAAACATGGACTACTAAAATTTTGAGGGGCTATAGAGGGTCATTTTCTCATTTTTGAGCAACATTCATTTATAGCCACTCGGGCCAAACTTATAATAAGCGGTACCCCAAAATTACAATATATATTTTATAGCCCAAAAGTAATTTTAGTGGCTAGCCACCAAATTATACATCTGACCCACGATATACTCAGTTATCATGAAAGACTGGGTGTGCAAGCCTTGTACAAAGGTAATAAGACGGTTCCTCACTTTGGAGTTCTCATGGGTTTTCTTGTCATGAGTGCTACCCCAGTTCGTTATTTGAATCCTCCCCAATTCAAAGCGACCGTGGTAAGAAATATTGGTTTATCATATAAAAAATACTACTGAATTCAACGCAGTTAATTAATCTAGAGTTTTATTAATAAAGAAGAAATTATTTCTACTGATTTTAGGTTGTTGATGATGTGGCTCACACTTTGCGAAACATTGAGTCGATTCATTCAATAACATCAGATATGAATTTACGGGTTTGCAGCAACATAAGAGACCAAAAATGGGTCAATTCAGATTAGTCTTCTATAATGAAAAGTGTGAACTACTGCAGAGGTATTTTGGACTCGGGAGTATAAACCTCTGACGGTTCATAAAGCTAATTAGGAGCAATCTGAGTTGGGAAGTGACCAAGATTGAGATCAGATTGTCATTATACAAAATAGACTGTCATTATATTAAACAAATATACTAAATAGACTGTCACTATACAAAATAGACTGTCAATATACAAAAATATACTGAATAGACTGCCACTATATAATTTATATACAATAAATTGTCACTATATAAAAAATAGATTGTCAATATACAAAATATATACCAAATAGACTGTCACTGTACAAAAAATATACAAAATAGACTATCACTATAAAAAAAATATACAAAATAGACAGTCATTATACAAGATATATATTAAATAGTCTATCACAATATAAAAAAATATAAAAAATAGATATTTCGGGCTAGTAGATGTATATGTTTGGGCCGGAGGGTTCGGGTCAATA